AGGAAGGAAGGAAGGAAGGAAGGGGAGCATCAGAAGGCAGGTCCAGACCTGGAGTGGGTCGCTGGGTGGAAGCCTTCAAGGTGGACGCCAATCCCCGGCGATGCTCCTGTGCCCCCTTAGGGGCCTGGGAGGACCCGAACCGCCCCCCCAGGCCTCTCCCCTCCCCCTTACCATCTCCTCTGGGGTGAAGTACTCGGAGGCCGGGTGCATCTCGGGCAGCTCCAGGGTCTGGGCCCGGTGGTGAAGGGTCTCCCGGATCTGCTGCAGCTCCCGCTCCCAGGAGCCGTCGGCCATCCCGACCGAGTCCAGCTTGAAGGACTTCTTCTTCTCCCCTTCGATCTCCTCATCGTACTTGGACAAGATGGTCTTGTGCTTGAACTGGCGAGGGGGAAACGAGAGGATCGGTTGGACAAGATGGTCTTGTGCTTGAACTGGTGAGGGGGAAACGAGAAGATCGGTGATGTGTGTGTGTGTGTGTGGGGGGGGGAAGGATGTCGGAAAGTTGTTTCCACATGCAAGGAAAGGGCCTTGAAGGAGGCCGTCGGCCTGGGAGCCGTGCCCTGCGGGAGGCAGCCGCAAGACCCCGGCCTCCAACATGCGCGTGCAGACGGGAGGGGCGTTGGGTGGCGACAGGAAGGACTCTCCCTGCTTTTGCGCCCAACGGTGCCATTGCAGGATGGAGGCCTCCCGTTCGAGTCTGTCTTGCTCCCTGCAGAACCCGGGCCCCGGCGTGGCAATCCTGCCTACCGAAGGTGACCAGGAAGCAAACGATCGCCCCTCGGTGGTGCACAGCGGCCAGCACGGAAAGGTCTCTTGGGCGACCTGCTGCGGCTTCCTCCTTCCCACGGGACGAGCAACCAGGATCGGACCCGTGCCCTTTTCCAGGAAAAGCCCCTGCCTCCTTCCAGCCCCTCCGGCATCTCTCCAGAGCTTGTTCCACGACCTTCTCCCATTTCCAAGGCAGAAGCCAAATCTCATAAGCCTCCCCCCTCCGCCAGCCCGGTCGCGCTCTCTTACCATCACCATGTCGTCCACGCTCTCCTCTTCCTCGTAGGGCTTGTAATCCGGCTTCTTCTTCCGCAGCTCCACGTTCTTCTTGGCTTTCTCCTGGTCCACGATGTTGACGTTCACCAGGACGTCCCCGCCCTCTTCCTCCAAGACACCTGAGGGCAGGCCAGCGGTCAGCGCGAGGCTGGCAGGGTCACAGTCCCGCCCTCTGATTCACCGATGCCCTTAAGGGGGGGCCGTGCAGTGCACCCTGGCAAGCGTGGCATTGGCAGCCACTGGTGGACCCCGTTCCGAGGTCCCAGGGGGGTGGCATGAGCCAAAGAGGATGGGAGGGAAGGGGATGCACCCTTTTGCCGCTAAAGAGCTAACCTCCCGCTTCTAGGGAGGGGGGGGAAACAGTTGCAAGAACTGGGAAACTGCTCAACCCCTCCCGCTGTGAGCGAGGGCACCCCAGCGCCTGGGGGGGGGAGAGACTCCAGGAGGCCCGAATGCCAAACAGGACAGCCCCCTTGCGAAGGAAACAGGGCAGGGCCCCGTTCTCTCTCCCCACCTTTGTCTTTGAGGGTCAGGATGACCGTCTGGCCTTCCTGGAAGGAATCGATGGTGTGCTCCACCGTCAGGCCTTTCAGATCGCGGGCGCTGTAGCCGACCTGTCAGGCGCAGGGGAGGGGGGGAAAGCGGGTGTGAGGACCCAACCCAGACCATGCCGTCCTCTCCCTCCCAAGCAGCCCCTCGGGATGCACTCAGGGGCGTCTGCAAGAAGGGCCGCTCAGCCAGGGGGCAGCGGCTTGGACTGCACGGTCTCCCACCTCCTCTTCCTCACCTGCTTCTTCTGCTGCCCAAATTCTTCCTCCACCAGGCTGCTGACCCCAAACTCCTGATCCATCTCTTCCAAAAGCTTGGCCTGGGAAAGAGAGAGGAAAGGATACGGTCGTGAGAAAGGGACGGAGGGAACGGGGCTAGAGAAAAAAACGAACCTGCGTTTGACGGAGGAGGCATGTGAAAGAAAGAACCCCCTCCCCCAAAGGGGGCACCCTAAGCGACCTGGCTGACCGGGGCCTCCTCCTCACCGCAGTCCAAAGGATGAACACAACTAACAGACATCAGGCGTTTGGCAACAGGAAGGGGGCAGTCCTCCAGGCGGTGCATCTGGCAACTGGATTCCAGATTTGGCAACCAAATGCTTGATTAGGGAATTACACGGGCCAGGCTCTTGTCAAAGGACTCCGCTCTCTAATTTGTCCGGGTGCTCTTTGGTGTGGACAGAACGGAGGCCAAGAGAAGAGCGTGCTCCCTTTCAGCTTATGGGTAATCGTAAAATGTGGACAGAACGGAGGCCAAGAGAAGAGCACGCGCCCTTTCAGCTTACAGGTAATCGTAACAAAGCAAAGCGTGCTGCTTCTACACCACCCCGGAGTGCTTAAAGCACCCTCTGGAAGCTTTACAGTTTCATGACGCAGGCCGCACACGGCCTCTCCACCAGTGAAATGGGCACTCGATTTGCCAAGTTCAGAAGGATGGACGGCTGGGCCGACCCTGAGCCCGTCAGGATGGGACTCCGATCGTGAGTGGAGCCTCAGCCGCAGTACTGCGCCTTAACCCCTGCGCCACAAGGCTTCTAACAGGCCAACCTCAGAGCGCTGTCAGGTTTCCAAGAACCAAAGTGAAAAGAACCTTTGCTTCCAACGAGACTTAGCAAACAAAACGTCCCGTGTGGATCGCGAGGAATTGACGAAGGAAGGGAACCCCAAGAGGGGCAACGGAAACGGGCAACTGATGGTGCAACAGCCAGGCCGGGTTGAGAGCCCCTGCACTGACCCGTTTCTCTGCCATGTCCTTCTCCTGCTGCAGCTTCCGGCTCCTCTCGATCCAGGCCGCCGTGTCGTCCAGCCAGGGGTCATCTTCCCCAAGCGTCTTGATCTTCCTGCAGGAAGCAGGCCAGAGGGAGTGAGGGGCAAGCCGGCTTTCCAATTGCCGGGGGCCTTAAACACCCCAAGACTGCCAAGAGCACCCCTTCAGGCTCAGAGACCCCCCTCACCCCCCGAAAGCACCCCGAAGGAAAGGCAAATTGCTCCACGTTAAGAAGCCAACGCTGACATCCAGGCTTCCACTGCGACTTAATAAGCAACATGTTGTGTTTACGGAAACTTCTTCACTTGAGATAATTCACCTCCAAACTTACACCCATTTTTTACATTCACGAGCCTGGCTTTTCTGTTTTGAAATTTCCTGTGCACACCAAACAGCAATTCTTATACGCAAGGCTGTGAACAAAGGCGTTTGATGTTGCTAAAGGCAGCCAGAATATTGATGTTTCATACGGAAACGTGACCTGTATTTTGATCCTCCCTCTGTTCTTTCCAGACAAAAAGAACCAGAAAGGGGGGAAAGATTAAGATTCCCAGATATTTTGCAAATCGGGTACAGGGCTCAAAACTGGATGCCAAAGACCACACTTCTCCTGGATACCAAAGGCAGGCAGCTTTAGCTCTCCCTGCGAATGCCAGACGACGGCTTTTAGGGCTTCCGGCTGCCTCCATTCCTCCTCCCGCTAACCTGGTGCAGGTGGACCCGTGAGAAACAGTATACCCTAGTTTCTGGTTAAGGAGCCTCTTCTCCTTGGCAGCCGCTAGTTTCTCCCGGATTTCCTCTCGCTGCTTCAGCACGATGGGGTTGATGACGTCGGCCGCCACGGGGTCCTCTTTGCTGCCCGTCTCTGGAGGGGAGACGACAGAGGTTACCTGAGAGCCTTTGGGGTAGGAGGCCTCTGCTCGGTCAGAGAGACCCCGGCGGGACGGGGAGCTCAACTCTAGAGCTGTGGCCTTCTTCAGGGAAGAGGGTCAAAGATTTCCTCCTCTCCAGGGAGGCGGTGGCTGTAGGGACAGCAGGACGGAAGCCAAGAGCTCAGGGGGAAAAAAATTAGGAAATTAGGCACTGGTGGTGGAGCAGAACGTCTAATGCAGACGGGGGGGGGGGGAAATAGGAAACTACGCACTGGCGGTGGAGCAGAACGTCTAATGCAGGCGGTACCTTTACTAAACGGCATCACTTCAGACTGCAAACTAGGCATTTCATGCAAACAACAATAGCAATCTTAGAACTGCAGAGCCAGAAAGGGACCCTGGGGACTATCGAGTCCAGCCTGTCAAGGAGGCCCAGGGGGGAGGAGGGGAATCGAACTCCCAGCCCCTGGCTCTGGAGACCGAGACCTCAACCCCTGAACTCCCTAGCAGTTCTAAAAGACTTGTCCTACTCGGAAAACAAGCATGTCAGGGAGGGAAAAAAAGTGGATGGCAGAGCCCCCTTAGACACTACCTTTCTATATTTATTTTATTCTATGTATATCCCGCCTATCTGGTCAATATATGCATGGACTTCAGCTACAGAGTTGGTAAGGGAACCATTTCTCACACACGCAGTTCACAGGAGCATGGACTCGAGGTCCTCTTGAAACTGGACAGAAATGGAATTAGCAAAGAAAACCACCCCTGGGAACCACCGCCGGAGCCCTGATGAAGCGCCTCCGCCGGTTTCTTTTTCAAAAAGACAACGCAAGAGTTCAGTGGCTCAAGAAAACCCTTAAATACTCCAACAGCCGTCGGGTACCACCGGCCATAACCGTGAGCAGCCCAAGGACACACCCAAGAGGTGGGCCGGGGGCACCCTTCCCTCAGCAGAATGTCCGCTCCCTCGGGCTGGCTTTGGGGCCCAGCATAAAACCACTCCCCCACTCCTGGACTGGAGTCCCCAAGGCAGGGAAACAGGGAGGCGCAGAAGCCAGACCCCCGGGACCTACCCTTTTTGACCGTATTGATCTCCAGGGGCTTCAATCCAAGTTTCGCACGAAGTTTGCTGTAGAGGAAACAGAAAAGAGGCAATTAGGGTGGGAAGATCACACCACGCTCAGCAGATTATTATTATTTATTTAATTTATACCTCCCCGATTTAGACCGAAGCCTACTCTGGGTGGCTAACAACGGTATTAAAATAAAATAAAACAATATTACTATAGAGGATGGCGAAATAAGTTAGGTATCGACAGGAGGGAAGGCCTGTCTGAAGAGCTAGGTCTTAAGTTGGCTCTTAAAAATGCCCAGCGAGGGAGCCAGACAGATCTCTGGGGGGAGATTGTTCCAGAGCTGAAGAAGTCTGAGAAGGCCCACTTTCTTGGCTCCTGGCTAGAACGAGTGATTCGGGTATATTTAGGTGGGAGGAGGTGTTCCGCCAGATACTGAGGTCCTAAATCGTTTAGGGCTTTATATGTCTTCATTAACACTTTGAAATCAATGCGGAAACGAATGGGCAGCCAATGCAAGGCAGCCAGAGTGGGAGAGATGAGCTGGTGTTTTCTCGTTCCACTAAGTAATCTGGCTGCTGCATTCTGCACCGTTTGAAGCTTCCGCATCAATCTCAAAGGCAGCCCCACTTAGAGGGCATTACAGTGGTCTGATCTCGAGACTACAGGCGCATGGACGAGAGTGGTGAGGGCCCCACATCAAGAGAGGGGCGCGGCTGGGCAATCCGCCACAGATGGTAATTGGTGGAGCGGACCACTGATGCCACCTGGGTTTCCATGGTGAGCGCCAGGTCCAGGTGTACCCCCAAGCTGCGAACCTCACTTTTCGTGGTGAGAGTCGGTCCCTCAAAAGAGAGGGAATTTCCCAAACCACCCACGTCTGGGCCACCCACCCTCAGGACCTCTGTCTTGTTGGGGTTCAGATCCCTTCAGGACTAAAGCAGGGCTTATCATGGTTTACAGGGTGGTCAGCGGAACCTGGGGTGGATAAACATCAATGTTTTTTTTAAAAAAATTATTATTTAATTGATGACTTCCATTTTTAAAAAATATACTTCTTTATTTAAATTGTAAAAATCCGCCCCCCCGACGTTCCAACCGAGCTGCTTCCACCGCATCACGCCTACAATCCGTTTTGACCCAGCCCTCGTCCCTCGTAGCCCTGCAAACGGAATTCTGTGCGCCCAGAGGCGTCCACGGGCCCCCACCCCCACCCCCCAGGTGCCATTCTGCGCTTGCCACGGATACAGAAAGACCCAGAGGTCATTGGGTCTCCGTTTCACACTCACTTCGTCTCCTCGATGCTGAGGGAAGCGTCTCCCGAGCTGGACTTTGAGGTGACGCCTGTTTTGGGAAGAAAGAAGAGAAGTTTTACTCGCCAACCTACCGAGCGAACCAACGGAAGAAAACCTGGACCCTGTTCTCGGGGTGCCTGAATTATTCCGTTCCTGCTCTGAAATGAGCACACGTCCTGGCCGGATCCCCAAAAATTTCTCCCAAGGCGGCTCCAGCAGAGGTGACACAGAAGTGAC